TCTTTCCAGCACTCAGAACCTTGTCGACGGCATTGTCGATATTTTTCTGTAGATGTTGTAGATTACCGTGCAGTCCTTCCACCGTTTCCGTGTATTTCTTGTCGTTCTGCTTCTCCATCTGGACCAGTTCGGTGTCAAGCAGTTTGACGACGGAATGTTCACGATGTGATTCGAAGAAGCAGATGCCGCAAATAATCGTCTTATGATCCTGACATTGTAGGAGGCTAGTGACGTGGTCCTCCTTGCCACAATCCCCACACTCTTTCAGTGTATCATCCTTTCGAGCCTTTTTTGCCTTTACTACGTGCACATCGGGCGCACGCTTCACGGATTTCAGCGCTTTGTTGTCTTTAGTTGGAGCATGAGCCTCATCGTTCAATCCCGCCGCTATTATTTCACTCAGGAAGGCCCAAAATCTGCTGTCCGCGGGATAAACACTCGAACCTTCAGAGATCCTGTTGCACTTGTTGCAGGAACTGTGGATGTTATTGGTCCGCTTGTGATGGCATGTTCCGCACAGAAAGTGCCCACATTGCACGGGAAAGGCGTCACATCCGTCCATCAGCTTGATCTCCTGTTCGCATCCAAAGCAGGTCGGATCGTTGAAAGGAGCGTTGTATTCATAGCCATCATACGTCTTCTCGAAAGCCGGCTGATTGAGGAATTCCATCAGACCCCGTTGTGGCAAATTGGAGGCGTTTTTGGAGCAAGCGCGGCAGCAGACTAGCCGAAGGACGTATGAGTAGACGGGAATCCTGGGCCCTCCTTCTTCGCAGTCAAAAGGATGCGCGCATCGGAAACAGTTGAACGTCTTCGTAAACATCGAAACGATTACCGGAAAATAAAAAATTAGTGTGGTTATAAGACGTAAGCAAAAAACACGAAGATAACGATCAGAAAAGCGCGATACCCGCCAGAAATAAATCCGGTTCCTTGCCTAAATACAAATTTCAAGTTCGTAAACACATCGGATTTCAAAAATCTGGGAAATTTCACGGTTGCCATCCATTATTTCATCGATTCGATAAAGTTGAGCAATGTTTATTCAACTAACAAGAATTTCAAAGCAATACCAACGGGATAACAATTAGAAAGCATTTTTACTTAGCCTCGTGCACCAATTCTTCGCTCAATTCCTCGAGTCGAGTGGCCAATTCGCGAGCAACAGGAATGTAGACTTCGCAATGTTTCTCGAATTTGTTGGCCGCATCCTCGACCCTCGAAACGACCTTTTGAGCATCATCATATTTCCCACATTTCGTGATCGTGGCCAGTCGATTCTTTCCAGCACTCAGAACCTTGTCGACGGCATTGTCGATATTTTTCTGTAGATGTTGTAGATTACCGTGCAGTCCTTCCACCGTTTCCGTGTATTTCTTGTCGTTCTGCTTCTCCAGCTGGGCCAGTTCGGTGCCAAGCAGTTTGACGACGAAATGCTCACGATGTGATTCGAAGAAGCAGATGCCACAAATGATCGTCTTGTGGTCATGACATTGTAACAGATTTTCGATTTTGTGCTGCTTGCCACAATCTCCACACTCTATCCGTGTATCATCCCTTCGAGCCTTTTTGGCCTTTACGACGTGCACATCGGGCGCCGGATTCGCGGATTTCCGCGTTTTTTCGGCCTTATTTGGAGCATGTAACTGATCTTTAAACCCAGTCTGTTTTATTTCCTCGCGGAAAGTCAACAATCTGGCGTCCGCGGGATGAAGACGCGAACCGACATCCATCACGTTGCACTTGAGACAGAAAATGTTGCTCTCATCGATCCCTTTGTGATAGCATCCTTCGCAAAGAAAATGGCCACATTTGACGGGAAAAGCGCTGCATCCCTTCAAGACGCTGATTGTCTGGTCGCATCCAAAGCAGATTGGGTCGTGGAAAGCAGCATTGTATTCATAGCCATCATCCGTCTTCTTGAAAGCTGGCTGATCGAGGAATTCCATCAGACCACGTTGTGGTGCACTGAAGCGCGTTGGGCCGCAGCCGCGGCACCGCATGCGCCGAGCCGAGTGCGAGTAGACGGGGGTTTTCGGCTCGCCGTCCTTGCAGTCGTACGGTTTCTTGCAATCCGGACAGTTGAACGCCTTCGTCAGCATCGTTGATCACCTGCAAAAGGGAAAATAAAGTGGTTTTGAAGGCATATTTCCAGATTTCTCAGAAAAAGACACCACGATGGTGTGCTACGGGTAACGGGGGTCTTTTTCGATTTTACACTTTATTCGCACAACTTTAACGTATTTTATTTCTTGGAAATTTTTGAAAAACGTTTTTCATATTTGGATTACCGTTATTTTGGCTGCTTTTTGAAGTCGGCTGGGTCCTGGCACGACCCCCTTCCAACGGCCCTTTCCCAATTGTAATCGAACGGGATGCTCGAGGGGGGTCCGATCCAAGAAGTCATCCTCTTTTTCTTTCCAATTTTTCTCTATTTTCCTCTAATTTAATAATATTGAATTTATTTTATTCTTTCAATTCAGAAAATGGCGGCCATGTTCTCCACTCCTACCTCGACAAAGGGCGGCGCTAACGGCAATCTGCTCGAGATCAAGGCCGGAAAGTTGAGCATGCAGGGTGGAAGCAAGCCCGGGTATAAAAAGGTATATTCTATCACTATTTTCACTTCTTTTTCTATTTCAGTGTGTCCCCGAAAAGACGAAAGGCCTGATCTTCATCAAGCAGTCCAACGACGGGCTCACCCATTTCTGCTGGAAGAACTTGGAGAATGGCGCCGTCGTTGATGTAAGGCAATTTTTCAGGATCTCAAGTAAATTTTTGATTTTGAGGATCTGATCATCTTCCCCGGCGACACTGACTTCATGCGTGTGCGCGAGTGCACCGACGGGAAGGTGTTTCTCCTCAAGTTCAAGACGTCCACCGATCGCCGTCTCTTCTGGATTCAGGATGGAACGCCGGATATTGAGAAGGATCTCTGCGAGAAGGTAAATTTTTGGCACTTTTGGATCGGTTTTCTCTGTAAATACAGAATTTTGTAGCGTTTTAGCCCTACCTAAACTTAAAAATGTACTTATCTTTTCTCTTTTCGTATCAGAAAACCAGCTTCTTTCCAGTTCAGGCTTTTTAGGCAAAAAGTTGTTTTTTTTGCGGCCTAAAATCGTTACATTTTCGTTTTTCGACCTTTTCTAAAGTTTTTCTACCTCAAATTTGGTTAAATTTTGTTCAAAACGGACATAAAATTGTAAAAGCGAAAATTGTCTCTTTTTTTAGGTGAATGACATCCTGAACAAGCAGCCCCACCAGCGATCGGCTGCCGGCCGTAACACACACGAGCGATTCGCCGGTCCAAACGCCTTCTCCTCATTCACGGGCAGTGGCAGCAAGGGTGCCCGTCTTCCCGCCAGTCTCAATCGTGACGATATCGCCAGTTTTGGAGGGCTTGATCAGGGACAGCTGATGCAGCTCCTCTCTTTGATGGGACCTGTAAGTTTCACTTTCTAGGCATTAGTTACTTTTGTTCTTTTAGGGCAACGACGACTCGTTCGGTGCCTCTCAAGAGGGTGCTGACGGTGGACCGGATGGGGCTGAGATTGATGCTTCATCATCTTCCGTTCTCGCCGATGCTGCTGGCCATTCGACGCCGAAGGCTGGCCCTGCCGATTATGACAAGATGCGCCAACTGGTGGCCGGAATGGCTTCGGCCGGTCCACGGGCTGATGGATGTGATCTGACGGATGTGTTGCGTGGCCAGGAAGTGAAGCAGGTCCTCGAGAAGAATTCCGGTAATTTTGCGTTTAGATTTAGTAGTTCTGAACGTAAAGACGTACAAATTAGTGTCAAAAATGCAAAAACATCGATTTTCGACGTAATTTCAAATTTTTAAACGTTTTTCTACGTTTTCTTGAGAATAATTTTGCATTTATACTTTTTTCTAGACTTTTTTTTTGCATTTATGCGTTTTATAGGCTTTTTGACAGCTCCTAAACTTCAAAACATACAATTTCTTTACTAAAATTTGCCATTTTACGACATTCAAATTTTTTGCATCTTTTGAAGTTTTTTAAATAATTTTCACCTCGAAATATAGCTGAATTGAACAAAAAAAACGCAATTCGGCGTAGATACTAGACCCCCCGCTATTAAACAAGCTCCCAATTTTTATTTTTTTCAATTCCGTATTTCCAGAACAATTCGTGGCCAACTCGATCCTGGTGGACGATGTGCCAGAGGCAGAGGCGAGTTCGAAGCAAGAAGTCGTCGACACCCCCTCCCAGCCCACCTTCCAACAAGCCGTCGGCGTGTTCAACTACGCGTTTGCCAGTGGACAGATTGGCCCTGTTCTTCAGCAGTTTGGCCTTCCCGATGATGTTGTTCAGGCCGCGTCCAGTGGTGGTCAGTAATCTTTCTGTTGTTCGAGAGATCGTTTTTTTTAGATATCCTGAAATTCGCGACGACGCTCACCGACAAGGAGGCCCCGAAGAAAGAAGGTACAATTTTTTGCTTCTGTTGCATTAGCGGGGGTGAAGGTTTTTATGTCTAGCAATGTCTTAATAGTGTTTTGGCAACGTTTCGCTGTATATTTCGTCTAGAAAAACTATCTAAAAACGTTGAAAATTCGACAAATTTGGTCTAAAACGATTTTTTTTCGTATTTTTCATACAAATTTTGTTTGTTTTAGGCGCGTCGACAAGCGACGACACGATGGACACGCAATCGGAAGAGACGCGTGAGCCAGAGCCGAAGAGGGGAAAGACTGATGATGGAGATGATATGGAACTCGACTAGAACAATCTCTCATACTTCATTTCTCGTTTGTCAAGCACTCGTCTATATATTCATCCATTCTAGTGCCCTCTGTCCCTCTATTTGTGATCGAAGTCTTCGTAATTCCAGTCTCTCTCTCTCTTCCTGTGTCAACAATAAAATTACGACCATTCATTCATTCAATCGATATTTCACCGAAATGCGTATATTTAGAGCTACGGAATGTGTGTGTGACTGGAGGGGTGTTGTTTGGCGTGTGGCGTAGCGTCAATTCACGAGCCAAAATGTTCGGTGCCCTCTTCTATCCTCTTGAACTGATAGTTCCCGCGTCCATCCATATACAAGTAGTATTCGTGGTGAACCTAAAATGTGGCTGGGTTCTTTGGCATTATCGGGGGGTAGTAAATTTAACGTTCTTTTTAGGCATGCACTATCTAAAACGTTAAAAAATGTGTAAATCTTCGAAATTTTGGGCGAACAGTATATGTTTTTGTGTTTTAGTAAAGCTGATAGAGTTTTTACATTTAGAAATAGCAAAAACAATAGAAAATTATATTTTGAAGTGGAAAAGATGTGTAAAATTTTTGATCTAAAATTGTCTTTTTTTTCTGGAGAATCGTTTTTGTACAAAATTCGTAGAGTTGTATTCCATGAGCGCACTCACCCATAGTGATTTGCGGTGTGAAACGGTGAATAGAGTGATGTTCTTCTCACGACACAGTCTGTACATATCCCCCTCCACATCTACTGACACTGCCGAAGTGCACTCGTCGAGAATCGCGAATTGGGGCCGGTGGTAGAACAGGCGGGCCATCTACAATTCTTCAGTTTGCTGTGCTTTTTCAGAACATACGGCAATCCTCTGCTTCTCCCCTCCGGACAATACATCCATCCAGTCCTGTGTCGTCTCCCATCCTCCTTCCCGCGCCAAAATATGGCCCAGCTGCACGTTTTCCAGCATTTCCTCGAGGTCCTCGTCCCGAATTCCCTAAAAAGATGTAATTCCAGCTTCTACACCTTATCCTGACCTTCTTGAGCATGTCGAAATGTTTGTCGGGGTAGATGACCTGATCCCTCAGCGTTCCCAGCGTCATATAGGGTCTCTAGAATCGATATTTTAGGTATTTATGAGTTCTTTTAGGGTTTACGATTTTTTTTGCCAACCTGTGGAACGTAGAAGAGCTTCCCCTTTGCCGGTTTCGTCAATCTTCCCCCGAAAAGAGGCCACAACTCGCCGAGAACACGGAACAGAGAGCTTTTCCCGCATCCATTCGGCCCGCAAACCAGCACATTCGTCCCGGAGGGCACCTGAACGTGTTTGAAATGGTTTATTTTACAGTTTTTTGCGCAACTTTAACCCAGTTGTAGTTGACGTACCTCCAGATCGAGTGATTTGACGAGAACATCTCCATTTGGAGTGACAAGGGGTACAGCCTCGAATCGAATGACATTGTCTTCGGTTACCAACTGGCCTGCATCGAGTGAAAGAGGGCTATTCTATTAGAGACCTACCCGAGCCAGCTGCTGATGAATTGATTAGGGTTTGATTTTCACCCGATGTGGACGATTGATCAGATACCATTGTACGTTGGTAGGAACCTAGGGAAAAAAGAGATTAAATTGGATCTTTGGCATTATCGGGGGTCCAGAGATGCCTAGTAATTTGTTCGAAACTACTTTAACGATAATTTTAATCAATTTAACTTGATGTCCGGCGGAACATCGACACAAAAAATTAAAAAATGTCGAAAAATTTGAAGTTTTGTCGAAAATAGATTTTTAAAAGAATTTTTACAAAAAATTTGTACGCTTTTACGTTCGGAATTTTTAGAAAACAGTTCAGTGAATTAAAAAGCCATGAAACATTCATAACAAAATTAATGGTGTTTTTTGGCAAAATTTAGCTTCGTACACGTACAATAAAAACGGCGCTTAGAAAAACCAGAAAAATTCTATTTTGGTCGAAAATCGATATTTTCTAGTTTTACCTAAATTTGTAGGTTTTTATGTTTAGAAATCAATTTTAGCCAAAATTCCATACCCTTATCGAGATCATCGAGAACCCGAATCAATCCATCAACTCTGAAGGTGAAGCCGGCGAGTCGTGTCATTTCCCGGCCAGCCAATGCCAATCTTCCCAGTGCCTCGGCCAATCGGAACATCATTCGACCCGAGTTGTAGTAGTCCTAAAAAAATCAAGAATTCTAGTTTTGAGAGCTTTTCCTCACCTGAATCAATTCATTCTTGCTCTTTGCCATCATTCTCTCGTCTTTCAGGTCGAAAAAGGCGCGCGACACGGCAAACCTTCAATTAAACAAAATTTTAGATTGACTTTTAAATTGACTTGAATTTAAATTAAAATAAAGCCGCAATTATGCTTTTTTCGCAAGTTCTTGGGTTTAAAACCTTCTAGAAACCTTGGTACTCGTCTGTTAGCAGGGGGGAACTAGGGACTTATTGTCAAATTTCAAATTTTTTAACTATTTTTATAACTTTCTAGCCAGAGAAAACTACTAAACACACTAGTTCCACATGTCAAAAGCTGACAAAATTGAAAATTTTCGAAAATTTCGGGGGCTTTTGGTCAGTAATGAATGAAAAAGAACCGAAAAGGTCAAGATTTGCTAATTTCAGATTTTTAACATATTCTTTTAACTTCCTGGCAATAAAAACTACTAAAAACACTAGAAAATAGATATATCTTATTCAAATGACGGAAATAAGCAAAAATTAGTCCCTCCCCCGCTAACACTCCAGTACCGAATTTTAATGCTCAATATTAGCTTCTCAGACAGTTTAGATTTTTTAAAACTGACCATCCAACAACCGTCGCAAAATATTTGGCGACAATATTGTCGACAAATCCGATATTAAATCGGAATAGAATGACTTTTCTCAAATGGGCAACGAGGGCATCGAAAGAAGAGAGAATGGTGGTCTTCTCCCTGTTCTGCCCCTGGTAGAAGGCTATTTCCTCGCTATTCATGATCAGTCGAGAATTCACGAAACGGAATTCGCCCTCCAGCCCTTGTTCTTCCACTGTTAGACGGCCAATCTGAACGGGTTAACGCATTTTTAGGGAGTCTTTGGGCTTACCGGTTTTCGGAGATTTGTGAGGAAAACTCCCGAAGCCAGGAGATAACATCCTAACATGGCTGGGGCTTGCCAACCAAGCGCTCCTCCGAGTTTTCCAACGTACAGCGCAACGTCGACTACCGGCTGGAATAAGGCTTTTTAGGGACTTGTGCAGTAACGGGGGAGCTTTTTCCCTTTCCTTATTTTTCTAAGTCAATGCAGGAGTGCTTCTAAACTGTTTTTTTTTGTTGTTTTTAAAAGTAAAAACACCCGAATTCTGGGTGAAAATTACGAAAAATGCCGATTTTTCGACAAAATGACCGGTGGTTTTTTGCTGAATTTCAAATTTAAAAGTATTTTAAAAATTTTTAGATAGCCTTGGCGCTAGAAATATAGTTAATTTATTAAAAATACTATGAAAATGACTGAAAAATTTGCATTTTTTATATAGATACGATAAACAGCGATTTTTTTCTTCCAAAAATCACCGGTTTTGACCAAAATTTCAAATTTTAAGCATGTTTCTAAGTTTTTTTAGATAACATTTGCATTAGAAATATAGTTAGAACTACTAAAACCATTGGATACCTTAGACAAATTGCTGTACAACTCGACGAGACCCTCGCAGAATTTGTCGACATCTTGTGTCAACAATTGATCGGCATTGGCGATTCGGTTGTCGAGATTCGACATTTTGTAGAAGGTGAAGCCCCTATTTTGTATAGCTTTTACGGAAATTCTGTATTCACTTACTTGAGATATTTCTGATACAACTCCTTTGTCAGCCGGCTTCTAAAGCGTAGTTTCAGCTCCGAGAGCGAGAATTTCAGCAGGGCGTTGACAACAGAGATCGCGGGCATGGCCAGGATGTACGACATGACGCTACGCACGAATTCACCCACGTCTCGCTCGATGATTGCTCTAAAATAGGGCGAATTACAGGTTTTATAGTTTTTCTAAGCTAGAAAAAAAAACGTTTTTACACGGTGTGTTGATTTTGGCAAAAAAGTGAGGAAAACAATTTTTAATGTATTTTTCAGCTCTCAGTTGATTAAAAAACGTACGCCTCAATCTTTGTGGACGTCATAATCATCCATACGTCAGCGTAAGTACGGCAGAGAAGCGAAATCGCAATCAGCACCATGTAAAACGTCTATAAACTGTCTTTCTAGGGTGGATTCTGAATAACTGACCTCTCCACAAAACAGACGTGGAATCAAAATCCTCAAAATCCCGCGAAGTCTCTTGAAAAATTCGCCATTCACATGGGCTCTATCGCCGGCGCCGGATTTACCGCTTTTCGTCGCAACAGCCCGCTTTTTGCTTCTAAAAATTAAATAATTTTTAGGGAACCAGCCAAATTAAATATTGTATTCTATTCTATGTAACGTTTCCAGGTTTATTTCTCGAAAAAAATACCGGAATATCGATTTTTCAGCCAAAATTTCGGATTTTTAAGTGGTTTTTGAATTTTCTAGATGAATTTTGGACTTGATCCTACTATATATAAAAAAATGTGTCTGTGTGTGTGTGTGTGTGCCACTTTGCATGCAACTTCCGTCAGCGTGTCCGGAGGATATCTCAAGAGGGGAGGGGTGTAAGGAGGTGTTTGATACCTCATTAGATGCATAATGGGATGGAGATGACTGCACGCATATCAGATTTATCGAAATCGCTTATTTTCGACATTAAATTTTAGTTTTTGTTGAAAAATCCGCGAACCTCTTTGTTAGGAATCAATTAGCATACACCGGAAGCGCGGGTAGCCTATATAAAGGAGCAGAGACCGCCTTTTTCACTTTTTTTTCAGGGTGAGTTGGGCCGAATTATGCAACGTGTAAACTTTCATTGGTCCAAAACGGGGCCAGGGTTGAAAAGTCGCGAAGCGGCTTTTCAACCCTGGTAAATGTCTAAATTTACTAAAAAAACATTAAAATACTTTATCAGATGTGACAGCTCGCTTTTTGCTCCAAAACTTCTAAATTAATAGATTTTAGCAAATTAGCGGTTTTAAAAATATTTTTAATGCTTACTTCGCAATTCCCGGTCCATACAGCTTCCATATCGACAAAATCGCGGCCAATCCGGCAATACAAGGCGCCGTCTGGCTCAACGGGATTCCCGACGTCGCCGTGCCCAATTTTGAGAGAACTGACATTTCTGGAAATCAATTTAAAATAAATAGAAACTAATAAAAACATATATTTAGGCCCAAAATCGATGGCCACGGCTATTCGGGGTGAAATCATAACTCTAAAAGCGAGAAAAAGCCGAAAAAGGTGTTCATATTGGAGGGGAAGAAGGGATGGATTGGCGTTGGGGGGGCGAAGATAGCGCGTATCACTCGAATTGTCTGTCTGTGTGTCTATCTCTTTCTGTCTCTCTCTTTGAGATGATTAGTCGTATCCACCAGACTACAGATTAATGAAGGAATGGCCCCCTACAAGGCTAGAGAAATTTGCAGAAAATGGTTGTTATTTGAGGAAAACGGTAAAACGACAAATGGAGGAACCGATTTCGGGACTAAAATAGATGTCTTGATCCCTTTAAAGAGATGAGGACGGCATCTGTTGAACCCCCCTTGAGGAGGGGGGGTTCAACAGATGCAGCGGCGAGAGAGGGCGCCCAGGGGAGAGGCGCAGAGACATTTTCTTTCCCGCGCGTAATCGATTGACTTATGCCGCCCCTATCCCTTTAAAAAACCAAAAATATACCTGTCGATTTATCAACTGATTTTCAGGAATCCCCATCACTTTCTGGGCGGACAATGACGACAGAATCCATCCATGAAAATACGCTGAAAATACCACCTTTGGATACATCTCTAAACGAGCAATAAAAAGTGCGCTTTGACGTTAGCCGGGATAAAGGCAAACTTGCACCGGTTTTAGATATAATTATATATATATTATTTTATATAAAATACTGTTATTTCAAAAAATTAAACAGACGAGTTTGAAAGGTTTTGACGCTTCAAAAATATCTGAAAAATGAACTAAAGTGACGAAAACTTAAATGCCTGACTTTTTAAAAGTTTGTAAAATATTTTGGTAATCGAAAACAATGAAAGCACAATAAAAAGCTTTACATATTACTACGAGGCAATTGCCGTAAATTCCAGTAAGTAAGGAAAATTGCCGCATGAAAACACGGCTTCGGCTCTTACTCAGATTTTTATATGGTGGATTTACCCTCAAATTGGTTAGAGCCGCGTGAAGCAGAAAAATGACTGATCGAATCCATTATTCTTTTCCTGTGTTTTCAAACGTCGCAAACCTGTCAATTTCTAGATTAACAATGCTGGACCAATTTCCGCCTCGCGCCATGGAAACACTTTTGTCTTTCCTGACCCCGTTGGACTGTTTGACGCTGGCCGGCGTGTCTCGAAAAATGGTGAAAATAGTCGGTGCGACGCCGAAGAAATATGGAGTTGTTCGATGTATTATGAAAGATGACGCTTTGTTCCTGAAGTTCCTGCCTAGCCCCGAACCCGTCAAGCCATTTATCCTCCCAATTGACGCCATGATCTCACAAATGGAGTAAGAAAAACCATTTTTACATTAGCTTGCTTTAGTTCGCCATCTTCCAAATATGGCAATGCCCCTGAATTAATGGCCGGCTGTACGGACAAGAAAAGAGCTATTTACCGCACGCTCTTCTTCAGAGTTTTATTTAGGAATTCGACCATCGGCGAGGTGGGGATACGTTGTGTTTTCTAATACCATTTTCAGCTCACCGACGCCCCGCTCTCTTTCGGCAACGAATTTTGGTTCGCGCTGAATATGAAAGTGACGCGAATCACTGAGCCGAGGGGCGCCGCATCAATCTCTCAACTGCGGCAGTTTCTTGGTACAACGTGTCTATTTATCAGCAGTTCTTTTTTAGAACATTTCCAACCCACCGATCTGATCTACCACTATTTCTTCGTGGATTTTGTTACGCGGCTGCCCGAATGCCTGGCTTTTTTGCAGAGCGGATTTGTGAGTGCTTCTCTCGTCTTTGCAATCCACTATTTTAGATCCGCGGGCTGCAAAAGCTGCACCTGTTTGGCCTGATGGGCGATGTTCGATATCTACGAGGCGTTCGGGCCAAGGATTTGCTCATCGGCATCACCAGCATCGAACCCGAAGCTGAATTCAGGAGGATCTTCGGCTTTTTGTTGCGCAGGATTTCAGTAAGATCAAGAAATCCTTTGAAAATTTACAACTTTTTAGGATTGGCTGCACGGGAAGGCCGACATTGACAAGATCCAGATATGCTTTGGCGAGGAGGAGGCCGGCGCCGAGAAGCTGTTCAACAGCTGTAAATCTAATATAAACTTTTTTTAATGTATTTTAGTGGTTGACAAGGTGGCGGTTGCTCTGACGACCGAAATTGGGTGGATCGACCGCACATATGAGGGAATGGAACTCATTCTAAGAGCCAGTGATGTGAGGATTTTGCGATAAAACGATGGGAATGTTTTAGGGTCAAGCGTTGATGGTATTTTGGGACGAACCGGACGGATATTTCTACCTGATACGCTGCGAATATAATTTCAGACGGTAAGTCATAGTTTTCTATTTAAAAAAAGGTTTAATTTGAGGGGTCGATGCCTCGGAAGTCATCAGAGGAATGAAGAGTCGGTGCGACGGATTTGCCGGCTGATGGTCCGTTTTTTCGCAGATAATCCAATCGTTAATGGATAATTTTAGAGTCTTTCCACGCAGCTACGAGAGCGAAATGCTGAATTGGCCGAAAATGCACGAGAGAAGCTGAAAAACGAGTGCATCAAGTTCACCGAGTACAACAAGGGCGCCACGACGGTCGATTTGATGATGGATTGGGTTGGTTTTCTTTGAAGAAGCTTTTAAATTGAGTAATTTTAGATCTGGCGTCCGAAGGGCCAACGTCGTTCGCCGTGGGGATTAATTGACGACTTCATCCTCCACGATAACGTCAATCGCGTAAGTTAGCACTGTTTTTTGGTTTTAAACAAGAAAAATGTGGATTTCGTTTTAAACAATTCAAAAAACGTGTTTAGGTAGACTTTGCCGTTCTGCACGCCTACCGATTTGTGAGAGCCTTCGGCGAAAGAGGTGTTCTGCCCGAGATCGCCCACTTCCAGCCCGTCGAGCGACCAAAATAGACCCGTATCGAAAGTAATATAGATTTTTTGTACGTTTGGTGAATAAATTGGCTCTGTTGAAGTTTTATAGACGCCACTATAAGCTGTTGACACCACCTGACCCATTTTCGGACGTTTTTTGGTCCAAATTTCCAATTAACCTAAAGTTTTCAGGTAAACAATGCTGAATAAACTTCCCCCAACAGTGATGGAGAGAATTCTTGGGTTCCTCGATGCCGTAGACTACGAGGAATTGGCCTGTGTTTCCCCTCGGATGTGGCAAATTGTCGAAGAAACGCCGAAGAAGTACAGTCGTGTTGACGGTGGCGTTGAATTCTTCGGCTTCTCGACAGATCCCGACACAATTAGCGAGGTTATATTGGATCGAACCCCTCGAAGCCACCCACAGTTCGTTTTACATATTTCAATAGCCTTATTTTGGCCTTAGAATTATGGAGTAGACGCGCTCCGCTCTAGAAACCCAATTATTGCTGTATTTTTTTGAGGGTGATGGGTATGGAGCTTTCGCTGCCGTTCAAGCTTCATCCTCCCATTGTGCTAATCAAAGGCGATCAAGACGAAGAGACCCGCATTATCTACACGCGCTACCTCAGAATGTTCCTCGCAAATTCCACGGTTCAAGAGGTTCGTTTCTTTGCTGTTTTTCCGAGCAAAATAAATTCATTTTAGCTTCACGACCCGGAATTCTCGTTCGGCAGCGAATTCTGGTTTTCCCTGAATATGAAAGTGGATCTCCTTTCCGCCATGACACTCACAACATACACCGAGGCGCATCAATATTTCGGTAGAAAGCATTGTTGCTATTTATTAGTTGTTTATAGATCACTTCCGTCCAACCGGCTTCACGTGTGCCCATTTGTTTCGCATTAAAGGAAACTTCTTGTTTGCATTGCAGCAGGGCTGCAGTTTATTGTCAGACCCGTTGGTTGGTTAATATTCAAAATCTTCTGTTTAGAGCGATCGTTTTAGATTTATTCGATGAAGAAGTTGCACATCCTCAGCTACATCGATGCCATTGGATTCCTGAAAACATTTCGCGCAAAAGATCTGATGATCGGGCTGGTAGGCCTTGGACATGATACGAAAATGGCGCAGCAGTCAATCTTCGAATTTCTGTCGTCAAGGATTAAGGTACCAGCTTTATTTAGCTTGATTAATTTGTTTAGAGCTGGGTGAGCGAAGCGGAAGAAATCGACAAAATCCAAATAAACACTGTGGACTCGAACATTCTCTCAAAGGACTCCATCGAATTTCAGATATGTAAGAGATTAAACAGTTTGATTAAACGTTTTTACAGTCTTGAAAGCCCTTCCTTTTGTCTTTCCTCGACACCTCGGATGGATCGATCGAACATACGATGGAATGTATCTCATACTCAGGGCCAGCGATGTGGGCATTTTTTTTTGGTTCTTTCGCATTATCGGGGAGATCAATTTTTTATATACGTCTAGAAATGCCTATTAACTTAAAAGAAAGTGTTTTAATAGCGTTTTTATATTATGTAACTACATTTCAACTAGAAAAACTACCTAAAACTCTCAAAAGTCGAAATTTTGGTCGAAAATAGGCATTTTTGATATTTTTTTTTAATAAAAATTTGTAAAGTACTCACGTTTAGGAATTGTCAACGCTATTTAGAAACACTTCCACTATTATTTGAAAAAGTTGTCCCCCCCCCCGATAATGCGAAATAACCCACTTAAGAAATCTTATTTTAGGGACAGGCACTGATCGTCTATTTCGACGAGGACGCCTCGATCTCTCTGATACGATCCTACCTTATATAATTTTGGAGTGTATCTCTGTGTGTGTGTGTGGATGTCACTTTCGAGGCCCGATTTGAGGGCCTTCCCGTGTCCCAAATGCGCTGATTTTTTGTCACTTGACGAAATCGACCCTCTCTTTCCGATGGCGTTTTCAGAATTTCGATAAAATACAAGTTTACAAAGTTAAAGCCGGTTTTATTCATTTTTGGGGGTAATTTGCATAATATGAAAAAAATACAAATTTCCTCATTCTTGCAATTTGCCCGCGCGTGTGTGGTCGGTGGGGGGAAGGGGTCCAAAGGACCCGAGCTATCGGAAAGTCAAATTTTTCATGCAAAGGCCCAATTCCAGCGCCCAAGGCCCGCGAAGCGGGTTTTGGGCGCTGGTGTGAATATAATTTCAGACGGTTTGCCGTGTTTGTAAATTGAAAAAAACGATCATTTTGAGTGGGCGTTGCCTCGGAAGTTGGGAACGAAACGGGAAGGCCCTCGCTCGGATAAGCAGTCTAATGGTAGAGCTAACGGCACGTTGCAATGATCCTCTTTTTAGGGTATCTCTTCCCGTCTATCAGCACAAAACCCAGAACTGGCTGAAAATGCGATGGAGAAGCTGAAGGAGGAATGCATCAACTTCAACGAGTACAACAGGGGCGCCACGCAAATGGACTTGTTGACGGATGCGGTAGGAGCGGAATTTAGTTTGTTTTATGGTTTTATAGATTTGGCGACCAAAAGGAGAACGGCGGTCAGTTTGGAGAGGGAACACTTACTGCTTGAGCGTGCCGATAAAGTATCCGGTGAGGAGGAGAGAATAAATTGATCAGACGTTTTTAGGTGGATATCGCGATTCGCCATGCCTACAAATACACAAAGGCCTTTGAAGAGAGAGGAGAACTGCCTGGAATCGACGAATTTGAGCCTGCAGTTGAGGAAGAAATTTTGTGGAAGAACCACTTGTCGAAATTTGCCGATAGATGAAGTACCGATTGTTTTGTTTTTGAATTTTGCTACTTCTTCCACAGAGTTGATGTTAGTCCATGTTATTTCATTCAGTTGATGTCTTTTCCTTGCTTTCTCACATTGTTACACCTTCAATCACCGCTGATAAATTGTTAAGAAAAGTGATTGATTTGCCAGTTTTTAGATGAGCGCTAATATATCGTGAATTATCGGGACATACAATGCTAAGTCGCAGGCTGGTAATACACAGTTTCCAGGCAAACAATGCTAAACAAGCTGCCCTCGGGGGTGATGGCGGATATTCTGGCATTACTCGATCCAAGGGACTACCTCGAATTGGCCGATGTTTCGCCTCGAATGTGGAGAATTGTGGTAGAAACGCCGAAGAAGTACGGAACTGTGGCTGTCAATACGAATCCGAGACAATGGGGTCTCACTCTCAATCAGGAAAATAGTCCGATGCCGCCTCTGAACATGCTCCTCGGCCTCTACCAGATTCCAGCGTTCGTTTTTAGTTTTGCGGGATAAGGAAACCCTTAAAAATGAGTAAAAAAGAGGCTAAAATCTAATTTTTAGGTGGGGAATGAAAGCTGATGGCCCGACAGTTCCAATGGCTGGTTGTAGAGACAAGAAGGAGTGTATTGCTCGAACAAACTATCTGCGACTTTTCCTTACAAATGCTTCAATTAAAGTCGTAAGTATTTGTGTGAAAATCTCGTATTTACCTGTGTAATTTCAGTTCTACAACGTTCCAATGTCGTTTGAGAATGAATTGTGGTTCTCGTTGAATATGAAAGTGACGCGAATCACCAACCCAATTGAATGGCAAGGATTTGCAAAGTTTCAAGAGTTTATCGGTAAGGTTATTGGGTTTTATTCAGATACTTTTCCAGATCACCTCAAGCCCACCCAGTTCATCCACGACAATTTTGCGCTTGAGGTGAAGAAAGAACCAGAGGAATCCGTCGAGTTTTTGGAAAGTGATATGGTCGGTTTTTTCGGGTTTGCTATAGTTATATGCCTAAAATTAGGTGTGCTCGTTGGAGATGCTCCATATTGAATTGAACGTGCAAGTGCTCGACATTCTTCATATTGTCGATGCGAAAGATTTGCTCGTCCATACTTATGATAGACCGGCCACTTTTCATTGGAATTTATTGATGGAATTCGTGGCTAACAGAGTTTTGGTATGTTAGCTTTAATTTTGATATGCTATTGTTTAGGGCTGGCTGAAGGGAGTTTATGTCGTTGATAAATTGCAATTGGACATTGGGGTCGACGTGAAAGGCTCGAAACTGTGTAAAAAATGTTTAATAAATAGTAGATTATCTGAATAATTTTTAGTTATGGAAGGATTGATTGGTGCGTTTGTGAAGGAATTGACCCCAGAAATGGGATGGGTGGATCAGACATACGAGGGAATGGAGCTCATTCTCAGGGCCACTGATGTGAGTATTGTCTTTTAAACGCAATCAATATCTTTCAGGGACAAGGCTTGATCTTCTACTGGGATGAGAAAAATCGCTCGGTGTGTTTGATAGGTTGCGAGTACAATTTTCGACGGTAACTACTATCGGTTTTCCGGAATTACTTTTATTTTCTAGTGGTCGATGCCTCGGTAGTTACGAGAGAAATGGAAAGGCCCTGGCGAGGATTAGTGCTTTAATGGTATGCGATAAATTACGATAAAAACGTCCGTCTTTTCTAGGCCAAATCGCAACTCCTCCTCAAGCGAAATCCGGGCCGGGCCGTGGAGACGAAGGAGAAGCTGAGGGATGAGTGCATCAAGTTCAACCACTACAATAAGGGCGCAACAAAAATGGACTTGATGACGGATGCGGTAAGAAAAGAATTTTAGTAAAAGTTAGAAAATTGTGTTTTTGGTTCTTTCGCATTATCGGGGGACTTAGCTTTTTTGGTAAAAGTCTAGAAATGTCTAATAACTCAATAAGAAGTATTTTTATGATGTTTTTCGTAGAATATTACTATATTTCAACCAGAAAACTATCTAAAAATTCTGAAAACGAACAAATTTTGGTCAAAAATTGATGGGTTTTTAATATTTTGTAATCGAAATTTGGAAAGTTTTGACGTTTGGAATAGTAAAAAGCTTTGGCTATGATTTTAGAAAAATCGGAATCTAAGAAAAGGCCCCCCCCCCCCGATAATGCGAAAGAACCGCCGTGTTTTGCAGATTTGGCGTCCACGAAGCCAGCGTCGCTTTCCGTGGGCCCTTTTCGTGAAAGGACTGCATCAAATTTTTCGGAGTCCCATTTATCCGGTTAGTTTCATCAAGATCTCGATTAGAGATATTTCTTCCAGTTGGACAGCTCGCTGAACCATGCCTACGAATTCACGAAGGCCTTCGAGACCAGGGGTGTGCTGCCGGAAGCCGACGAATTCAAGCCCGTACCCGACCTTTATAACCGAATTTGGGCAATGGCCTATAGCGATTTGTTTGTTTAGAATTGATACCTAGAATTCGCAAAAAAGGCGTGTTTTTTATGTGTTTTTTTTGTTGTTGTTTTTCTGCTTTTTTGCTCGTTTCTCACATTGTTATACCGCCGGTTGTCTTTTCCTTGATAAACTCTTAGAAATCCAAGATGCACGAGCCTGTTTTTCAGAGAAAAACACGTTTTGACCGGTGGCTAAAACGGCGCTACTTGAGATGCTTGTGATTTTTGAGTTTATTCGATTTTCACGGGACCAGATCTCGAAAAATTATCTTGAAGCGTTTGTACTTTTTCGTTTTGCTTTTGCTTCGCTGTTTTTCCAGGATGGCATAATTAACCTCTCATTTTCAGATAAACAATGCTGAACAAACTTCCCCCAAAAGTGATGGAGACAATTCTCGGAAGACTCAATTCTAAGGATTATCAAGGACTGGCCGGTGTTTCCCCTCGAATGTGGAAAATTGTTGAAGAGACGCCGAAACACTACACATTCGTCAGCTTCATGATGGGCTTCAGCGCGTCAACTGGATACGAAAATAAGCCGGAGACGCCGATTGAAATCCCGTATGCCTAATTTTGAATTGAGTTAACAAATAAATTTTTAGCCGTAGTCTCCCGTTCAAGCTTCGCCCTCCCAAGGTAATGGGCAATTTTGACGGCGATGATAAAGTGACGAATATCAGCTATTCGTCTTATTTCAGGCTTTATCTCGCTAACTCCACGGTGCAAAAGGTTCGTATTTCCTGGCCACATAAACACATATTTCAGCTCATTGATCCACAGTTTTCATTCGGCAGCCAATTTTGGGTGTCGTTGAACATGAAAGTGAAGCATTTCTTCTGCTTTTCCCTCACAACATTCGAAGAGGTGCAGCCGATTTTCGGTAATACTTCTTCGGTATTGATCTTTTGTTTCAGCTAGCTTGCGTCCCTCCGAGCTAGAGTGTAGTGTCCTGTTCATGACGGACATCAACCCGGGGCACACCATCAAATTCCTGGCGGATCCAGTGGTTGGTGCTGAGCTTGATAAAATCGTGCAAAATGCTGGTCGTCGAAAATGAAAGCATCTCGGTTTATTCTATTCTCTGAATGTCAACTTTAGATCTGCTCGATGGAACAGCTGCATATTTATCGACTACAGGGTCAAGTGAAATGGCTCGACCATTGTCACGCGAAAGATTTGAAGATTGGACGCGACGAAGCCGACCACCAGCCCGTATTCGACTTTCTCACGCGAAAGATTCTGGTGGGGTTCTTTCCGATTCTATTATTATTGTAACCTCTCAGAAATGGTTGGACGGTATGGCTGAAATCGAGAAAATCCAGTTCTACGACGACCGACGTGGACCTGCTGCTGCCATTGAATTCGAGACATGTTGGAAAGAAATCTTATTCATAGAATTCTTCTTTTTAGACATCAGGACGATTCCTTTTCTGGTGCCCTCGCATCTTGGATGGGTTGATCGTACATACGAGGGAATGTATCTCATTCTCAGGGCCAGTGATGCACGTTTTCCATTTTTATTAAAATTTGGGAAATTCTAGGGAAAAGCGCTATTGGCGTACTACGATAATGCTGGTCGCTCTTGCTATCTGATTGGATGTGAATACAATTTCAGACGGTTTGTGCCATTCTACAAATTATCTCGAAAATGTTGTATTTAGTGGCCGATGTCTCGGTAGTTATGAGCAAAACGGAAAAGCCCTTCGTAACATTCGAAATTTGATGGTCAGTGTTTCTTTCAAAATGCACGCTTTTTCAGTCCCTTTCTTCGCGTCTATCAACACAAAATCCGAAATTGGCCGCCGATGCGAAGGAGAAGCTGAAGGAGGAGTGCATCAAGTTCAACGAGTACAATAAGGGCGCCACGGAGATGGATCTACTCGTCGATTCTGTGAGGGGAATGGCATTCAGTTATTTGTTTTTAGATCTGGCGTCCGAAGCGACAGCGTCGATCGGTTTGGGGATCTTTCAATGGAAATGTCCTCCCGACGGATAAATATCCGGTATTCATTTGCCCGTTTTTGCGTCATGGTAGATCTCGAAAACCACTGCTCGATTTGTAAGAGTCGGTTATTTTTAGGTCGACCCGTCGATTCGCCACGCCTACAAATTCACAAAGGCTTTTGAAACAACTGGTGTTCTGCCAGAGATCGACGAGTTCAAGCCGGCCGATGGCAAGGAAATTGAGGACTGGAAGCAGCGCTTCCCGGAATTCGCTTTCTAATTTTTGCTTGCATTTCGCTGTTGTTATTATGCGGTTTAATTTTGCTATGTCGTTAATAAATCTTTGTTATTTTTGAATCATTCGGTTTTCCAGCAAATACGCAAACGACACGCACCTCGAAGAAATTTTTCTAGAATTCTGCTAGTGAATTGAATCTTGATAAACTGGGATTGTGCTTTTTGGCGTTTCCGCTTTTCCTTTGCTTTCTCTTACAGAAATCCCACTTATAACTTCTGATTTTCAGGTAAACAATGCTGAACAAACTTCCCCCAAAAGTGATGGAGACAATTCTCGGGCTTCTCAACACGACTGATTACAGTGAACTGACCGGTGTTTCCTCTCGTATGTGGAAAATTATCGAAAAGACGCCAAAACACTACACAACCGTCAGCTCGGATCTGTTCGGCGGTTACGGCTTCACAACTGGCCCTCATCGCCTCCAATGGGCAACGCTGAAAGTGGATCCGTCTTCCTGTACTCCGTACGTTTCCAAATTCGGTTCTTTCGCATTATCGGGCAACTGAATGTTTCGTCTGCGTTTAGAATTGGCTGGTAACTTAATAGGAACAATTTTAGTAGAGTTATTAGTTCAAAAAAACTATCTTTGCGCTGGAAAAATACCTAAAAACTTTCAAAAATTCGACATTTTCCTCAAAAACGGCCGTTTTTGGTTGAAAAGCCATATTTTTTGTATTTTTTTAATCAAAATTTGTAAAGTTTTCAAAAATTGGATCCAAAGAAGATTTCCGTCCCCCCCCCCCCGTCAATGCAAAAGAACCGGAAAGTAGTTATGAATTGTTTTTAGAGAAGAGGCGCGTCTTCTCTACAACCTCAATCCATCTGCGGTGCTTATCAAGGGATGTGAGAGCATCGAAATGGCGATTATCTTCTCGGCTCATTTCAGACTCCTCCTCACAAATTCTACCGTTCGAGAGGTTCGTATTTCTTTGAAACACCACAAAATTTATGTTTTTTGAGGACGATGATAATTTTTTAATTTTCAGTTCTACGGTCCTGAATTTACCTACGGCAGCCAATTCTGGAAATCTTTGAATATGAAAGCGAAACATGTATACTGCCTGTACCTCACCACACTTGAGGAGGTGAAGCCGATTTTTGGTACGAATTCTTCACGTTTTCAATACGTTTTTTTTTCAGCGAGCTTCCAAATGACGGGAATGAGTTGTGGTCGGCTGTTCGACCCGCTGGTCCCGGCGGAGAGTATCAAATGTCTATCCGACCATTTGGTTAGTGATAATCACAATCTACTCATGTCAATTTGTAGTTCTGTTCAATGGAGAAGCTGCATATTGGTCGACACCTCGGAAAAGTCGAATGGCTAAACACTCTTCGGGCAAAAGATTTGAAGTTTGGACGCGCCGAAACCGATCAGCAGCCCGTATTCGACTTTCTGGCGCGAAAAATTCGGGTAAGAAATCCCCCATTTATTTCCTGCTATCAAAATGTTTTCAGAGATGGTTGGACGGCACGGATGAGATCGAGAAAATCCAGTTCTGCGACGACACCGATCTGCCGGCTGCTAGCTTTCAATTCGAGACATGTAAGGCAGAAAGCGTCCTAAAATATACATTTTTAGTCATCAAGACGATTCCTTTTCTGGTGCCCTCGAATCTCGGATGGGTAGATCGAACCTACGAGGGAATGTATCTCATTCTCAGGGCCACTGATGTACGTTGTTTCGGTTTCCTGAATGGACGATTTCAGGGACAAGCGCTGTTGGCCCACTACGATGCCGTTGGTCGCTCTTTCTACCTTCTACGCTGCGAATATAATTTCAGACGGTTTGTGCACATTCTAATTTTCTCCAAAATACGATATTTAGTCGTCGATGCCTGGGTAGCTATCAACGAAACGTCAATTCCCTGCGCGCCATCCGCAATTTGATGGTGAGCTTTTGATTTTTTTTTGAAAGTGAAATGCTGGTTTTTCAGAGAATCTCGTCTCGTTTGTCGCAAAAAGACCCGAAATTGGCTGGTAATGCCAAGGAGAAGCTGAGAGAGGAATGCAGCAAGTTCAACAAGTACAACAACGGCGCTACGGAGATGGACTTATTGACGGATGCGGTGAGAATAAAGCTTGGAAAGAGTAGAATTTGGAAGTTTTCCTATTCGATATTTTTGCAATTGTTAGCCGAAGATTCGTAAAGTTTTTACGTTTAGAAATCGCAGAAAACTTGCAAAGTACCTAGAATTAGGCTTTTGTAGATCTGGCGTCCGAAAGGCGAGCGTCGTTCGATCTGGGGGATGATGAAGAATGGGAGATTTGTTGATGATCAAGATCTCTTATATCCGGTATGATTTGCTCGATTTGTTAAGCCCATTATATTTAGATTGATCCCTCGTATCGTCATGTCTACAAATTCGCAAAAGCCTTCGAGGAGAGGGATGTTCTGCCCGAGATCGACGAATTCCCACCAGAGTTGTCTGCCGAAGAGATCGAGCACTGGATGGGGCGCTTCCGGGAATTCGCCTTCTAAACGTAAAAAAGGTCTGATTCGTGATCTCGTTTTGTTTGGTGTATAAACGTGTTTATTCTTCGTAAAATCCGCGCGAAAATGGCTTAAACAAGGAAAGAAATATATTCTAGTTGCTGACCCGTATTACAAGTGAGAAATTCGATTTTTATAATATCGCAGACACGTGAAAAGAAGGGAAATATCTATCAAAACAAAACAATTCTCCCAGTAATTCTCATATTCTAATATTCTAATCGTACGTAATATTCCTAATAACAATTCAACGAAAACAAACGCCAAAACGATAAAGAATTATGAATAAAGTTGTGCCCTCATTTTCTTCACTTCCTCCTCCAGGATTTGCAGCTTGGCCTCGGCGTTTTGGACGAGTTTCGCGTCTTTCGCTTTCCGATCGGCGCGTACCTAAATAACACAAGAATATGGGGGGTTCTTTGGCATTATCGGGGGACGCAAGTTCTTGCCTATTACTAGCAACGCCTCGTATCTAATCGAAATAATTTTAATATTTCAGAGTAAATTTTACGATATTTAAAACGAAAAACTAACAAAAATGTCGAAGTTTTTTTGAAATTTTGTCGAAAAAATCGGAATTTTTGTATTTATTCATAAATCAAAATTTGAAGGTTTTTGCGTGCAAAAAGAAAAAACCATTGGTAACAGGCACTTGCCAAATTGTGGAAAACCGGAAAAGCTTCCCCCGATATTGCAAAAGTACCAGCAAAAAATAAAATGATAAGTTAATTAATTTAATAAGGCAGTAAATTTTACCGTATTTAAAACGAAATACTAGATAAAAAATTTTGAAATCGTGTCGAAAATCCGGATTTTTTTGTCGAAAAGTTGATATTTTTGTGTTATTAAAGTTTTTAAGGTACCTTTTCATTGGCCCCATTGGTGCGTGCAATCTGTCTGAATCGGTCGAGTAGAGCCCTCTGCTTCTCTACCCTCTCATCACTCTTCGCCAGCCGTTCCTTCAACAATCCCACGTAGCTCGCCTGTTTCTCTGCCTAAAAAATCAAATAAAACATAAAATAATTTTTGGGACCTGTATTTTGATGGCAAAATTCCCGGGTAAATGGGGTACGGTAAAGGGGACAATGTCATTCTTCGAACCGTCCATTTCCGCCTAGAATAAAGTAGGTAAAAATTGCGATAGAAAACCCCACAAAAACGGGCTTGAATCCGCAGAGCGATTCGACGACTTCTGGCATGATTTTCGGCGTATTTTCCGTTGAGTCGTAGAAGAGCGTTCCTGAAAAAAGTTATAGTTAAATTGTAATTTTTATTATTATA